ATTCTATTGGTAGGGTATGAGAGAGAGAGAGAGAGAGAGAGAGAGAGAGAGAGAGAGAGAGAGACAAAGACAGAGACAAAGACAGAGACAGAGACAGAGAAGGAAGAGGAGGACAAAAAGATTGAGGAAGCAGTAGTAGCATTATTAGGAAATGAGATGGAAAACTTCATTATAAAATTAACAAGAGATTTTATTAAATTGTGATAGAATACTACATTCAACTTTTTTTGGTATGAAAACCTAGATAAAATAGGGAAATTTTTGAGAAAATATACCAAGAAATCAAAGTGGTCCTAGAAGAAAAAAAATCTAGTCCAATAATAAGAGCTGAAATTGAACCAATATTTGAAGTTGTACTTGCCCTATTGCCCTGGTCAAGACAATATTGCAGGCAAGTTCTAACAATTATCAAGTAACAGATAATTCTCCTCTTACATAAACTGTGCCAGAGCAGAGAAAAATATGTTAATTTATTTTATGAGGCCAGATTTCCTGGTTGCAAAAACAGAATAAGGAGTGCACAAATAAAAACAATTTAAAGACCAATCTCAGCTAAATTAAATAAAGCCCCATAAAATGTAGTAAAACCCAGTACAGTATTAAAAGAACAATATGTAAATTCTATTCCAAAAAACAAAGATGAGCTAAGACTCCCAAACCTATCAGTACACTGTATTAACAGAATAAAATCAAAATGCACATGGACTGCCGCAATATATTCTGAAAAACAAAAAGGATAAAATTCAAAACTCAAGTATGATGGGAAACAACAAACAAAAAATACTCCAAGGGCATTAGAACATACATGAAATATGTTTACTTCATAATGGCTGTACAGCAAAAACACACGGCAAACTTCATATTTAAGTGACAAAATATTGGAAGCAGCACCATTAAAATCAGCGTGAGTCATGACCCGTGCTAGCCTACAGTCCCTGAAAGATCCCAGCCAATGCAACTAAACAAGAAATGAGACCTTTAGAAGTTAGAATAGAAAAGATGCAGTTGTCACAATTTTTAGGACATCTGACTGTATACCTAGAAAAAAACCCAAGAGAATTAAGTGAGTATAAATGATCAGGTGATATCAGAAAAATGCCTTACAAAACTAATATTAAAAAAAGTAAGGCCTTCTTTTACATTAGCAGTGGTCAATCAGGAAATACAGCCTAACAGAAAAATATCTACTTCAAAATGTTAATGAAAAGTAGAATGGACCCCGAAATAAATCTAACAGGACATGTGCACAACATTTATAGATTAACCTATGAAAATTTATACAGGAACATAAAAGTCAGTATGCATAAATGGAGAAATAGCTAATTCATGGTGAGGAAGGTTCGCTGTAGTTCTGATGCTTGTTAGTATGTGATACTAGGAAACTTTAAAAATTTTTACTCTGTCTAAAAACAACTCTATCTGAGACCTACTTCCTCATGTAAAATAATGGAGGTTGGGTGAAGTAACTACTCCTGTAATCCCAGTACTTGGGAGGCTAAGACAGGGGAATCACCGCTAGTTCAAAGTCAGCTTGGGTACATAATGAGTTCAAGGCCAGCCTGAACTACATAGCAAGACCCTATGTCAGAAACAAAACAACAAAACAAAACAGGAATCTTCTTTATAGAGTTTTTGTGATTCTTAGAACTAGTAAAAGCAAAACATGCTTTAAAAAACCTCAAAATCACATGCAGTGGTACAAATATACATATAACTATAAGGAAGAGAAACATGAAAGGACACACATAAAATATAATGGTTATCTCTAAGGAATATGTACAGATTCCAGGTTGAGGTCCCATTATCTGTAATTTTAAAATTCTTTTAAGAAAGGAATTCTGTTAATATACTACATATAATTTTTAAAAATTTAAAGGAAATCCCTTATTTCTAACCATCTTGGTCTGCTTCTATTTTTTCTGGCACAACCAGATTGATTTTCTCGATGTTTACCTATATTGATTAGAAACTGAGCTCTGTAGGACATTTACTTGAAGATAGACCTCCAAGCAGTTACCACAGAGAGCACAAATCTCCGACTACTACATATGAACATGTGTATTGCATGTGGGCTTACCATACGGAGAGTTGTAGTATGCTTTGTGTTCTGTATGAGTATTGTTTGCGTATGTGTGAATTTTAATATGTATGCTCCATGCACGAATGCATACCATAATGAATGAATTGCCTGTGCCTACAGATCTCCTCCACCATCATTATTATTTTGTGCATCATAGAGGACTTCTTATAACTCAGAATCCTATCCTATTTTCTATTTATCCTATCCTTTCCTATAGAGCTTGGTTAAAATAATATGTTTAAGAAGCAATTATGCTTGTACATTTACCAGGCTCTTAGCGTGTGTATACTATCCTCCTAGGAGCTTTTGGGGATGTACGGATGCATTATGATTGATTTCAGCCCTCAGGGAACTGATAACCCACAGGGGATACCTCAGCACTTGCATAAAAGCTCTAGCATGAGCTGTGTGTCCTAAGGGCTGTGGAGCTCAGAGAAATGAAAGCTCGGCATGTAATCGTATTGATATTATTGGTGGAGTAGGAAGGGCAGGGAAGACTTGCGAGGACTAACTGTATTTCCCATGCTTACACTGGAGAGGAACTGCTAAAACAACTTCCAGATCCCTAAACCGGTTTGATTTTAAAAGAATATCTTTCATGTCATAAGACTGTTTGCGGCCGCCTTGACTTGGATGAAAATACAGCTAATGAATTCCTCACTTCAAACTAATTAAGAATGCACAGTTATTTCCTCTGAATGTAACGAGCCCAATTTACTCAGGCATGTATGTAGGCTGAGGGTGGGCGAGATCCCTAGGATCCTTTACAGTGGGACCTGAGATAGGAAATGCTTTACCTCGATTGCTCCTTTGTACCTTCACTGTTCTGAAGTAGACTGCCATGTGCCAACAGCATCCTACACCTAGAAATCTGTATCTTTCAGGAAGAGAAGAAAGTATAATCCTGGGGTCCAGCAACTCTGAGCATCATGTCATGACCTTTCCTAGATCTGTGGTCTTGGCCGTGTTACTTATTCTCACTTAATCTCTTGAGACCATGTTTCCTCATTTGGAAAATGGCAGGGGGGTAGTAGTTATTACCTTACAGGTGATTTTCTAGGACTAAAGATAAGAAATACAGATTTCCTAGCATAGCACCTGGCACATAGGGTTCAGTGGATTGCTAGTTGCCTTCTTTATTAGACACCGGAAAATACGTCAAGACTTCCTGATATCCTAAGTGACCTCCTGTCAGGGAGAAAGGGTTTAAAATGAGATGGTATGGATTTAGATATGAAAGATCTTGGAAGGGAATGTGAGAGAAAGAGCATGCTTTTCAGCACAAGCCGTAAAAGAGAAGAGTGTACATTTTCACCTTCACCCTTGGAAGCAATTAATGAGTTTAGTGGAGAACTCAGACATTTGTGACAACTTCTGCTTGCAGGGGTTGGTAGTTGCCGGACATGTGGGCTGGATTAGGACACTGGAGGGTTTGAACGATGAGCAGTCAGTCATTTGGCTGAATGCACTTAATAAATTACAAGCGAACTGGAGAGACTGGCCTCCCCGGGTGAGTCACTTTGAAGTAGATAAAAATAGCCAACAGAAACCAGCCCTCATTAAACAGGAAAAGAAAAAAAAATCATCTTATTTGATTGACTGACATTGTTTTGATCAGAGTGTGCAGTCACATGCTGACTTCTAGTTTGGTCAGAAAGACACCCTGTTGCTGATGGAATCACACGCATTTACTTATTCTTCCAACCACTGACTAGGTGTGACTCTTAAACATAAGCACATCTGCTCCCATATCTTCCTCCTACCTCTACCTCTAAAAGTAAATAACTTTTCAGTTATAACTTATTTAACATTCTCCATATTCACTGGGCTTGAAAGGCTGGTCTCATTTACTGTGGTTTCCTTTGCTCTTGTAACAATCCCAGTATCAAATCAGAAATCAATTTATCCTGTGTTGTTTTATATTATTTCTCAGCTTTGTTCCTCTCTCTCCACTTCATTACCAGGGACTGCACCTCCAGTTTCGGGTAACAGCTTCCTAACTGGCCCCAACATCAGGGACGAGTCCTCATGACTGCCTCACTCCATTCCAGTCTGCTCTGCCTAGCAGCCCTTGACGCTCTAGAAACTACTAGTTCAATTATTTCCTAGCTCAAAAACTAAACTAGCAAGTTTGTGTCTCACTCCTTTTCCAGGCATTTAAGGTCTTTTGTCATCTCACTTCATCTCCCACTAGTTTTGGGCAAGACAACGAGAACTTGGGGATCAAGATGGGACTGTCGTTCATTTCCTCTGCTGATAGTGGGGATTCTGGGATAAGAAGTCTGGGAGACCACCACACTGCTCTCTCCTGAGAAACAAAGTCCTTGCCTCAACCTGCCCCCTCTCCTTTACCCTATTTACTGAGACTTGTAGAGCTGGCTATATGGAAACAAATGTTCCTGGCAGTAAAGGTGCCAGCTTTGCATACATCCAAACTATCTGTGCATTGCTAATTGGAGGCCTCTGTGTCTGGTATGGCTACAAAATTTCTTTTCCCTATGTACTCTGCCATCCACCTCCTGCCTCCCTGATGGATAGCAGTAAAAGCCATGAGCTTTTGCAGACAAGGCCTTTTGTCCCACAGAGAACACTGGGTCATCCCAGAGCTCTCAACTGTAGAATATTCTCATCTTTCTTTTGCATCCATGTGCCATATTGCCAGGTGGGTTAGACTGATACCTTCCGTGGGGGTTTTGGTAAGGGAGGAGGCACATCATATAGATACCTGGCTGTTGTTTTCTGGGCTATGATTTAGTACTTTCTGGAAGGGTGAATTCATGTTGTTGAAAGGCTTGTGTCTCCTGGGTACAGGGGACTGTGTGTTTGCCGAGAGGCTGATGTGGAAGAAGGCCAAAAGCTGGAGTAATATGATGAACCTATCTTAACCTATCCATCACATAGAAAAGCTAGTGAAGCGAACATGAGAAGCGAGGTACCTGATGACATTCATGCACACATGAGATTTACATAACTACAAAGAGCACCAGAAACTATGGGCGGACTGATTTTCTATGTGGTAAAACAGCTTTGGACCAAAAATTGGTCCAGTTGATGGGAATTCATGATCCTACAGATGAAACACCTAGCCAGTGATGGCGAACCTTTTAGAGCTTTCAATGATAACAAACAGGCTGCTGCAGCACCTGTGCCATAGCTCATCACCACTGAGTCCTAGACTATCTCGTGAGTGAGCAGGAAGGGGTAAGGAACATGCCCGATGTCGTTGTGAGCATCTTCTACAGGCCATGTAGCCACAAGGAGGAGACTGAGGGTGCATTTCTCACTATTCTAGCACAGGGGAAGTTAGAGCAGTGAAAGTGGATTTTTGCTGGCTGAATGTTTGCAGAAAGCCTCATTCTGCCAAGAGCTGTGCCTTAGACCTGTCTTTTCACGCCTCTTGATGACAGGGAATTAAGAAACGTAACTGGATGGATTCCTCTGGCCCTTATTCTGACCAATAGAAAGATGCTACTGGGTGAAGCAGCATCAGAAACTTCGCAGGAGAAAGAAGCAACTTCAACTCTGAGATCAAGAGTCTCAGGAAGAAGCAGCTTGGTTTTAATAAATAACCAGAACTCTAGATTTAGTCAGAAAAAGGACATAGAAGCCTCTTTTCAAAAAGCAGAGACAGTTTTGATTGTATAAGGTCCTTGAGTGTAATCAAACTGAAGTTCTCCGAAATGGAGAGGCATTTTTTTTAGAAATTCCAGGAAAAAGGAAAAAAGGAGTGATCCTTTAAAAAAAAGTCCCTCAGAGTTAATCTATGTGCTCACACTTGAAGAGGACATTTAGCAAAAAGGAAAAGAAAGGAATATACTAATGAATAAGTAGGAAGATGACAAGAACTTACACATAAAAATTATCTCATAAATCAATGGCTCACAATGATCTGAAAATACTAAGTGACAAAGACCACAAAAGGCTAAAAAATTGGAGGAGGTTTAGGAAGTGGGCTATTTAATTTTAGAGCAAGAAGAGCAGACAGTGGCTTGGTTTCCTTCTTGGAAATGAGGATGACCAGGAAAACTAACGGAGGCCACCAAACCACTTTCATTGATCCTGGAAAAAGTTTGAAGAACAAAAAACCAAAGGTCTAAAATAAGCAAATATAGATGAGAAAATCTAATCTTAATTTCACCATCAAAAAACTGGAAAGAGATAGATTTCACTATCTGCAATAAGTGTGGCCATGACATTAACCTTAGCCAAGAAGATGAAAATCATATTTTGAAAATATTTAAAAATAAAAATCACATATATTCTCACCATATAACCATAACCAAAATTAACATTTTGCTGTAAATTTTTTCTAGAATTTTCCTGTAGGCATATATTTTTTTCTCTTTTTCAGTTTTGACTTCATTTAATTTATCCGACTTTTTTACTTAGCAGTATAGGGTGACCATTGTTTGTTGTTAAACATTCTTGTACATAAAATAATACTTTCTATGGCTACATAGTATGTTATTATATAAACAGACCACAAATTAGTTTTAATCTCCTTTTCTCAGCATTTTATTTTTAATTTTTGCCCACCAATCTGTTTTAGGGATGTCCATGGTTTAAAAAAAGTATTTATTTTAAAAACTCATTTTTAATGGTTGGAAACTATGGCATTTTAAAATTTTGTTTTGGGGATGTTCCAGGGTTTTTATTTGTAAACTAGTACTTTTGTAAATGATCTATGAGCCCTAGAAAAGAAGTTTCATTCTCTGTATTTTGGGTAACACACAGTATATATATATTTAGTGGCATAGATTAGATGACAATTCCTAGACTTACGTTTTACTTGTTTACTTGATGTGTGTGTGTGTGGAAGCTTGAGAGTGGAACTTTGGAATCTTCTACCATTGAGTTTCCACCATTTTGAGGGTGCAAAATTAACTGCTGCACACATTTCCATAAAGTTTTATCTTCTCAGTGAGTTGGACTCTATTTCTATAAGCCCAACTTAATTGTATTATTCAAGGGTATTGACCTAGAGTTGCAGTACGTCTTACATCAATGTCATGATTCCTGCTTTAGTTTTTGTTGCGTTTCTCTGCTATCTTTTCTCAGCATTTTACTTTCAATTTTTGAACATCCTTTTGTGTTACGCATGTCTATGGTAAACACCATATGGTGGAATTTTACTTTTTGATCCAATATGAGACCTTTATTTATAGTGGGTGATTTAGTTCAGTTATGTTGACTGTTACAACTGATGGTATTTGGGGCCTTTATTTCCCCAATCTCATCATTGTCTTGTATATCCTCCTTTTTTTTCACATATTCCTTTATTTTCTTCAGTTTATACAGAATATGTTTTCTTAGAACCTTTCGTTTGGAAGATAGGTTAGTAGGAAAAGAAATTCTACCACTATTATTTTCTAAATTTGAGTTAAGAATGAAATGACTTTCAAATAGTTGAGAATCAAAACACAGTTTCTAAACTAGGCTCGGTGGTGGCTCACACCTGTAATCCCAGTCCTAGGGAGGCTGAGGCAGGAGAATTGTTGCCAGTTTGAGGTCAGCCTGGGCTACATAGTGAGATCCTGTCTCAAAAAACCAAAACCACCAAAACCAACAGAAATAAAAAACAAATACTGTTTCGTTTTCCATTCCATTTTTTTCCTACTGACTCAAGCAAACATCTATCTTTTCAGGCTTTAAAAGTAATTACCTGGGGTATCAGACTCAGGTTGGTTGTTTCAGAATTCTTTTTCTGTAACTGTGTATATCTTTTCCTTGAATACATTTTACTTTGGTGCATAGTTTTAAAACTGGATTTACAATTACTATTTAGACGTCTTTTAAAATGGGTTTCAGTAGTAATCACTTATTAGTTCTATATACTTAGTTTGATTTTTGGTGGACTACTCTGCTTCCTAATGCCAAGTAGTAGATTTTAATTCTGCAATTATGTCTCACTTTCCTTGTGATCCTTCCATATTTCATTTATATCTTGTGAATATTATGCTTCATTTTTATAGTAGCCCCATTCTTGATCTCTTCTGAATTGTAGAAAGTCATGCTGTCACGCTCTCTTATGAAAATTCTGGTCTCTTAAAATGTTCCTTTAGGTCCAGCTGGAGTAGCTCAATTTTGTGCTGTGTGTTATTCTTCACTCCCTTATTTTGCATTTCCCTTAGCTCCTATGTTTTACTCTGTTCTCATTCTTAAAGAAGAAAGTTTTCTACAGACTTCGTGCTTGTCACACAATCCTCGGTCCTGTTCTCACTGAATGCTGAATCAACAGTGCCGAGTGGATGTGTGTACGTCTCAGACTTACATTGAATTCAAGCATATATTAAACTGGAATAACTATGCTTCAATTCTATTTTCCTTTTACTGCGAGAACAACTGCTATTTTTGGAATGTATCATGATATTTTCTATGAGATGATAAAAAAAACTCAATATTTCTTAAGCATTTAAATAGACATACAATCTTTCATTTTTAAAATCTAAAGCCCCCATGTGTCCATTCCACAAAGTTGGTTATAAGCTTAAAATTCATTATATACTAACTTATTTTGTTATTCAAACTTTTAAAGATTGAGACAGGTTTATTAAAGTTTCCCTCGGCAATTGTTTTTTGTTGATTTTACTTTATATATTTTGTTATTTAGAATACAAATAGTCATGAATGTTATATTCTAAATATATCATATCACTTAACTATATGAATATTTCCTATATTAAATTATATTTTGTTTAATATTACTATTGTCCTCTCTTTTTTTGTTTGCATTTTCTTAAAATATCTGTGCTCTTTTCTCCCCTCCCCCTCTGTCCCACTTTGTTTGAAACAGCATATATTTAGAATTGTTTTTTTGCCCAATCCAGAGCTCTTTGTCTTTTAATAGAAATGATTAAACTATTTTCACTTAATGTGATAACTAATACATTTGACCTCACTTCTACCGTCTCATTTTATACTTTCTATTTTTATGTTTCCTTGCTATTTCCTTCTTTAGTTTTTATCTTGACTATAATGTTCCAAATCTTCCTATTCCCACTCCCATCCATGTTGATCACAAATGATTTAACTTGAGTTTTTAGACTTAGGTCACTAGAATGAATGTCTCATGCATCTTTATTAAGAATAATGTTTAATGGTTGCGTTGTTTCATGACCATATTAATAACTTTTAAAAATTAACCCAGTGTTTTAATGATTTCATGGTTCACCTCTTCTTATATCGCGTCTTTTCCATTGCCAACTTTTAATGTTCATGAACTTCCCTGCTCACCGGAATATTTTGAGTGAACATTTTTTTTTCAATATAAAATTTCAATAGTCTGCTTTCTGGGTACATTTTTTACTTCACATATTCCAGAATCTAGAAGTCTGGGTCAAAGTCTTATTACTTCAAACTTCTTCAGCTATATCCCATGTCCTTCTGATAGTTAATGTTGTAGGCTGTCTGATACTTTCTTATCTTTTTCATTGAGAGTAAACTTGTTTCTCTGATTTCCTATCACCTTTTTACTCTTATGATTAATAACTCACCAAAATATACTTTTAATTTTTCCAGTAGATTATGAAATATTTTATAGTTTTTATGTTTTTCTATATTTTTATTACAATTTGTCTTTAATACTTTTTTGTTCTCTGAAAAATTCTGTATGTACTTAATGTACTTATAGCTGCCATTATTTTTCACTCATTATTCCATTTTAATGTGTTTTTTGGCTTTTTTGTCAGTGTGGTGAAGATTTACATTCATCTTTCATTTTCTGTGTTATTTCAAGGTTCATGCATACATTGTATGATTTTAATTCAGCAAAATGCTCATCTATCCAACTGCATCTCTAGCTGGATCTCTCACTGACACTCCAAGCTTAACATGTCCTCAGCTGAACTCATTAACTAACCCCACTCTGCACTTGCTTCCTGATTCTCTGGGTTGCTGAAACCACTACTTTCTCAGGACCACAAGGGAGGAGAC